TATATATATATGAAAATTGTGTATGCGATGACCCTGTGTGCATAACACATAATATATAAAATCAAATTACGTTAATATAAGAAAAATTTTTCATTGTTTAAATTTTCCACGTAATATTTAGAATATATACATTATGGCTAAATCAATTACTAAAAATTTTAATTTGACAGAAAAAATATTTTATAGATCCAATATCTTTGCCAGAAATAATAAAAATTGGCTTGACCTCTTTTGGTTTTTGGCGCAACAAGCGTTGTAACTGTTTACGAGACAGGCTGCTTTTAAGGCCCAGCTTGTATTGCTGTACTGCGCACACAGATGGCATTTCCAATGCGTGATAGAGCAGAACAGCTTGTGAGCTGGCCCGCTGCCAATCATTGAGTTGCATACGACCACAAGGGAAGTGGGTACTAAGTGGATGGGCTCTGCCAGCCAATCAGAGAGCCGCCTATTCACCACGGTTCAAATTAGCCCATACGTCCGAGCCACACAAGCAAACTCCGAATCTTGCGATAGTAATACTGGCGTTAGCATTGGCATTGTCGCTCGCGCATTTACTGTAACTACTTGTACCGGCGGCCTTCGATCATGAGTTTAATATGTCTGCATCGGTAACGGTTTGTCAACGCTGCGTAGCATCTACTAGATTTAGGCAGAAGGCATATTATAATACGTATATATATTTGTGTGGAAAACGTGGAATATGTGCGATTATTGTGTGTGCACACATAACGCGGACCGGTATCGCATTAAATAGTGAAAACGCGACAATATGATGTGCCCGTTAAATTGAAAACAAAGTAGAGTGCACAAAAATGAACAAGTGAACTAAAATAAAAGCGAGTGCTCCATTACAAAAAAGCATAAAAAAAAAAAAAACAAAAAAAAAAAAACAAATAACACATACAGGCATATATGTATGTATACATGTGCATCTAACAAATACAGAGCGCTTTAATTAAAGAAAATAAAAATCACTACCATCTGCATGAATTATTTTGAGACAAACAGAATCCTGTGGTGGTAGCGCTGTGTGAAATATTGACGCCTGCAGTGAGCCCTGGCACTTATATTACATGTTCATTGTTGATACTCAAATGACGAGTAGCCCGTTTAAGTTTCAGCACTCAGATTGCCTAAATAAATGCGAGAAATTTCGCATTTGAAGTCCAAAAGTGGAAATCAACACTAGCACCACCACTAGCACTTGCTACCAGCAAGAGAGTGAATCTGACTGCTGGAATAACTGCAAAAATTATTAGCACTTACAAAAAAAAAAAAAATAAATAAAATAAATAAAAATAAAAAATGTTTACGCTTCAACCTACGCCTGCAGCTATGGGAACAGTGCCTTGGTCAACAGGAGCACTAATTGAACGACTGCCCGCTCTGGATGATATGAACCATAAGGGTATGATTAAAACTTTTGCCTGACCTTTAAAAACAAGAAAATCTCATATATTGTTTAATTTCTAAGAACTCCTATTTAGTTTCCGACGATAACTGTCTTTCAAACTTTTAATATAATCTGTTATCAGGCATTTGTATGTGTATTTCAGTTAATATGCATATATATAAAATGAATAATAACGCTTTAGGTGTGCAAATGATTACTGAATAAGTTTACAGTAAGAATCCACAAGAAGAACAAAAGAATCAACATAAAAGTACCAAAATGAAGTTGTTGGAATATATAAATATGAGTTATTTGAGGTTCTGGATCACAAGGGAACCACGAATTTATTTAAATACTCTTCCTAAATTTAGACTATATAGGTGCTCATAAATATTAATAATAGAAATATGCATTATCATATGTAACTTTGATATTAGTTTTCCTTACCATAAAATGTTTAATCAGTGTATATGGTTTCGCTAATATTTTGATAATAATCTTGATAAGGACGACGAGGTGAGTCAATGTGATCCTCTTCGTCTTTCTGTATATATAATATAAAATATTGAAATTCATTTAATAGTTGTTAAAAGCAGCGTTTCGTCAAGAGCGTATGCGTTTCTCCTATACGAGTGCGTATGAGCAATTGCTTTTCTATCGAGCAAGTCAGAGTGCTCTGTCGAGACTGCTCGACTAGAAGAGCCACTAAACTCTGCAAAAAGCTGATATCCTAATTATTCTGTACTTATTTTATACACACATACAAAATCAATCACATGCACACACAAATACGCACGCTTCTACACAAAGCAGTAGCGACTGCAAAGCAATATTATTGTGTAATACTATCAAAATACTATTATTATTAAAATTGTAATAATGGCATTTAAAGGTGTGACTTTACCAAAGCTCAAGCTTTTTTTTTTTTAATTTTGGGTAAAGTGGGCATGGTATCCAAAATTTGTAAATTACAAAGTCTTCGTATTCGTAAAGTCGATATACACACAAAATCTGAAGGTTTTAGGTATAATAGTGTTCAAATTACGCTTTAAAAACTAAATCAATTTAACAAAAATTGTCGATATAAAAGAAAAATGATAAATTTGTACAACATATGGGAACACGAATAAGCATGCAAAATTTCAAGTGTCTACCTCTTATGTCTTCTTGGCGTTTATTCGGACGGACGGACGGTCGAAACGGTTTAAGTTCATACAGGCAACAAGCGTAAAACGAAAAGATTCAAATCGTGTTCAAATATGAAATTTATGATTTAATAAATTAATACGTTGTTTTACAATTAAAGAGAATGCCAATTTCGGTAAGCATATTAAAATACATCTCGGCTCAGAAGTATTTGGAAATATTGCTTCCAGAAATAAAGAACAAAACCATTATACCCTGATTTCCCATTGAAAATGGGTTCAGGGTATAAAAATATAAGATCATATAAGTATTAAATTGCTATAATATTGTTCATATAAGTATTGTATTATGTGCACGTCTGACAGCTGTTGTGATTATTTTTCATTTGCTTTGCTCTTTTCTTCTTATAGACAATGCTCTTGCTATGAGAAATCTGCCCTGTTTGGGCGTGGCTAGTGGCAACGGACTGGCCGGTATTGATGCAAAGGCTGCTGCAACAGCTACGATGGAAGTTGCGGATGCAACTGCATCTCCACAGCCACCTCACTCAACGTCTTCGTACTTTACCACAACCTACTATCACTTAACAGATGATGAATGTATGTTTTTAGTATCATCTCAAATTTTTCAATCAACTTTAATGTTTAACTCATATTTGTTATTGGCAGACGCAGACTTAAGCTCAATCAAAATATTGTTAAAAGAAGTAAGAAGGCTCCAGTCGAGACTGCTCGAGTGGGAGATACTCTGAGCCATCTAAGCTGATACTATAATTCTGCACTTCTTTTATGCACTCATGCATACACACGCATCAACACGCACGTATATCACGCGCTCTGCTGACTGCGCACTTAGCAGCGACAGAGCTTGGGCAATAGCATGAGAATTTATTTGTTGAATAATTTCTCTTGTAGTAAGACTATCTTTATGAAACTTTTAGAACGTGATCATATGGTTAGAATGTGTATATATTCCAAAGCACAAGCCTCTAGTACTTAAAATACATTCTATTTTAATTGCTGACGAAGGGGGCGTGGTATTCAAAATCTGCAAATTACAAAATCTTTGTAACCATCAACGGTATATACGCAGTAAATCTGAAGTTTCCAGGTCTAAAAGTGTTCAAATTAGGCTGAAAAAACCAAATCAATCTTTCGATTATTCTCGATAAAAAAGTTTTCGGATGAAACATCGAAATATATGACAAAATACTATATGGCAAATACTGGTATACAAGAGTCTACATGCAAAATTTCAGCTCTCTAGATCTTATAACTTCTAAGATCTAGGCGCTCATACGGACGGACGGACGGACCGACAGACGGACACGGCTATATCGACTCAGCTCATCGCCCTGATCGAAAATATATATATAACAACATTTCAAGTCTCTTGCTTTTATATCCTTTGAGATCGACGCGTTCAAACAGTTCATTTCTTGATACCTTTAATTGGACTGACAATCAAGACTACACAATTCTTATATATCTGATCCTTCGATCCTTTCCCTAGCCGTGGTATGGTGCTCGTAAAAAAGAGAATGAAGCTCAAACAATACATATGCTTCCACTTTCTGAAAATATAATATTCTTAAGTACAGAATCAAAAGTAAAATAGAAAGACAGAGCGAATGCTTTAATGTGTACTCCATGCTTGATCTACAACAGGTAAGAAAGCTGTAGTCGAGACTGCTCGACTACGAGATCCATAAAAACCCTTCGAACAACTGATATTTCAATAATTATTCGCACATGCGCACAGGCACTCACACACACAGGCATAAACACGCATTCGCTGCAGTGTGGGCTTACTATGGGAACTTAATTGTAAAAAAAAAAAACAAGAAAAATCCCAATATATATATATATATATATTTGCCTGCAATCTGGCAATCTGGTTTCTTATACATATACTTGCCTAATTGAGTTATTTAGGATTTAGTACTACCCAGAAGCACGCTTATCAGTCGCTGCCACGATTTGTGAAAATGATTGGCATTCGGTGTGAAAATTGCGAGACATTGTTTTTCATTGATTTTTCCACTAATTGTTTGTTGGCTTTGTGTTGTGAATGACTTGGTCAATGGATCTGGAATCTGTATAAGCTGGCAATTATGGTCACACAATGAATCGAGGACAAAAATCCATAGCCAAGCTGATCAGTACGGACAATGGATAACGGATACAGTACAGAGAGAGAAAGACCCCGAGTTCCGAGTCTCTCTGTAAGTCCAAGTAAAGATGTTTAGATGCACATAAGGTACATATTGAACACCATCGGCAAAGAACACATAGCTGATTGACACTCCTGTGCCCGTTCGACATGCTTCTCTCCTCGTTTTGCAAACCTCCTTTTGGGGTGCCTTCGTCCCCTTACTACCTAACACTCTCTGTCCCGCTGTGCCGATAAGTAGTTTTAGTTATGTCCGTGCCATTGTTTGTTTTATGAATCAATACAATCATTTTCCACCTATATAATGGAATTGAAGAGTGTTCTGTGTTCAAAGACCGTTTCGTGTCATGTCGTTACAAATGAAAACAATTATCATGACGTTGGAAGCCGAAGTCGAATGGATAATAAACAAAAGCATCAGCATTTTGTTTTGTCTGATCATTGTGTTTGCGCTGCTCGTGTCACACATCAGCCAAACTGCAACACGCTCTTCTCTCCTAATATATATATAGGACTATCTCGTTTTCGCACACAACTGTCACAGCTACACATTCATGAAACCCAAATGAGACTGTTAGTGACGCGATCATTGTGCGACGTGATGTCCTAGGGGTTCGTAGTGGTTATTTCTTGCCCTTGTCATCGCAATGATATGTCCAGATCTAGGTCCAAGGTCCAAATTGCATCCCATCTGATTTGTCTAGCAATTACATTGTTAATCCTATTGAAAATGGGAAATCAAGGTATAATGGTCTTGTGAAAATAAGACGGAAGCATGGCAGGCCCCATAAAGTATATATATTCCTGATCAGGGCGAAAAGCTGAGTCGATATAGCCCTGTCCGTCTGTCCGTATGAACGCGTCGATCCCAGAAGTTATAAAAGTTAGAAAAATTTTAAGATAGTTCCAATATAAGAGAAATTATTCAACAACAAAATTCTCATAATATTGCCCACAAATATTGTCTTCTAGTCGAGAAGTATCGACTAGAGCACTCTTACTTGTTTTTATACCCTGAACCCATTGAAAATGGGAAATCAGGGTATAATGGTTTTGTAGAAATGTACGTATCTAACAGGCAGAAGGAGGTGTGGCAGACCCCACAAAGTATATATATTCTTGATCAGGGTGACGAGCTGAGTTGATTTGGCCCTGTCCGCCTGTCCGTATGTATGAACGCGTCGATTTCAGAAGATATAAGAGCTAGAGACTTCAAATTTTTTTAAATGTCCGTAATTACAGCGCGSATATCRAGTTTATCATTAAAAATCGATAACTCATCCCGATCTTTTTTTATCGATAAAAAACCTTATC